TTCAGACTCTAGATTGCACAGTTGTGTTTGATTGTGTTGATCTTCTCTGAGATCTATACAGTCAACCAGCCTCTGCAGTCTTCCACAATGAAATTGGATGTGGCAGTTAACCTCCTGCAGAGTACTAAGAGCCATCTGTTAACTGCAGAAACGGTAGCTTTGCTGCTGCACCAGCTTCTGTAAAAGATGCATGTGTAGACTGAAGAGCAGCATAAAGACTCACCTTGACTATGAAGCACTAGATGAACCCGATGAGAGCAGTTTCCAACGTCGACTTAGCTGTTGCATCTTTGGATTTGAAACATTTGGACGACTTTAAAGAAAGTTTTTGGGGAATATTGCAAAACCTCCCAATCTTGGATGACGAGGCTCTGCAGAAACAATGTGAGGAGTGGAGAGGAAACATTTAATTGTTTCCAGATCTTTGGATAACCCCGAGGATCGCCTGTACCCTGCTTTTCAAAGCTGATAAAGACAAACCTGTGATCATATAAGACGAGCCATCATTAGATTTTGGGGACTTTCTCACTGATCTTGGATGGTGGTGCAAGGATATAGTTTCTTCAGGAGCCTTTAGCTGTTGTCTTATACAATAATTAATACTTTTGTAGTGCTCACTTACTTTATTTTGAATATTTTGTGCTCTTATATTGATTGTTCGTCACTATTTATTTGTCTGAGTTCATTTGTCATTGTATAGACCTTGTTGTTACTTTAGGGCCACTGAATCCTTGGGCTGACCCCCTAACAATCATAACTCAAGGCCCACTTATGTACTTATTCTGGAGCTTTCAACTGTATCAAATAGTCTTCATCAGCAAATTTTAGTTTGCTTGAGTTTTCACATAAATTTAGACTTCCAAACTTTCAGTCTGAGAACTGATAGACTTTTTGTTAACTTGTTCTTGTCTTTGGAAACAGAAGTTAACAAAACAATCACCGCTCGTTGCTCGCTTGTTCTGGGGCTTTCAACCGTATCACTCCGTCTTCATCAGCAGATTGAGTTTCCTCGGTAGCACGTGGAAATGTAGATGTTCAAGCTTCATTAATCTGAGTATCTCTAGGACTTCTGGCTTAAAGGTTGAGCCTGAAAGTGAATTCCTGACCTTAGAAAAACAGCAGTTGACAAAACAATTGCCACTCAAGGTCCACTTTCCTCAGTAGTTCTGGAGCTTTTGTACCATATCAGCACATCTCTTCACCAGCAGAATGACCCGGTTCTGTTTCTCAATGGCTATGTGCCATTTCTGTTTACCAAGGTCAAATATCCTCTTCAACAACACATCGTAGGCGCCATGATAACCGCTTTGTTGTTACGACTTTTCCCCGTCACATAAAACTCAAAGGATAGTCTAATTGGAGTGTGTTTAATCACAGCAATGCAGATAAAAAGATAATTTAATGACATACATCAAAGTTCAGCCCAGTATCCGAGGGAGTTCAAGATTTACGTCCAACGCTAACGTTTATTGCCAGTGCAGGAAGAGTGCGGCCATTATGTGAATATGTAGCAAGGTGGCAGTTAAAGGGCGAGGAGGTCGGGGGGGACGGTGGTAACCAGACTGTGTGACCTGCAGTTAACATTCACCTTTTTATCAACTGCTCACACGACTTTTGATTGTCTGACCCCAAATAATGACTATAGGTTTTAACCTTAACTGTACTTAACATAATAATCTATCATTTGATTGGATCTGGGTGTAAAAAAACTGAGAGACAGATAAAAAAAAGATAGTTTTAAGTCGTACAAAGTAATTTAATAACTGTTAAGTGTGGAAATGCGTCTACCTTTCAACCTCAGTCTTAAAGCCAACTGAGCAGATTCAATCTGCTGATGAAGACTGTGAGCCGGTCAAAAGCTGCAGAAATGGAGTTCAGTGTTTATGTCCATTAGCTGATTGGCGTCAGCTGTTTCATTCTTGCTGACTCGTACTGTGTAATCATAATGATGCAGGTGTACAACCAGACACTTCGTGCTGTTTTCTTGTATCTCACATAAGGTTTACGCTCATGTATGTTGTCCTTTTAAGGCGGTATTGCTGTAAAACTGTTGACGTACGTGCTGCCGACTGAACGAGCTGGTTAAGTGGCTCTCGGGTTGAAGCACTTTGTTAACTGCAGTTTTCAAGGTAAAGAATCAAGTTTTAAAATGTTTAGTGATGATTTTCTTCTCTACTTGATCCGTCTTTTAAATGTCAGAAAATAGCACAAAAAACAAAAAAAGCACATGTTCCCGGACAATGCTTCAGTTCAAGATATGAATTTATTAAGACAAAGCAGCAGCTCGTCACTCACACGCTCGGTGGGTGTACAGGTTGCACATTTCCATCAGCGAACGCACTCGTGCGGAGAGAACAGCGTGTTTATGGACCTTCACAGGGTGTGTGGTACAGTGCGTGTTCATTACATAAATGTGGTGACACCCCAACATGAAGTGAACGCCTGCTTTGTCATCGTCCATGCATCTGGAATGACCCTCAGCACACACACACACTAACACACACGCACACAGACACACAGGCAACGTTTGATGCTGGAAAGCATAGTATAGTTTCCAGTGCTGGGGATGTGTCACATGTCTAGATTGAAGATAAATTGTGTTTCAGATTAGACAAGGAGGAGGAAGGGAGGAGGACTACAGGCTGCAGGGAAAAGGGGATTAGAAAGACCCTCTTACACAACAAATGTGGCCTCTCAGAAAACCCACGTCAAGACCAAAACAAATGGCTTCCACTTAAGCATGCGTGACACCTGTCAGGTTGATTAACATTATATTTCTCAGCAGCCTCGTACAGACAGGTGTGTGTGCGTATAGGTACACTGTGTTCCACAAGGAGGAAAAGGCTAATAAGTCGAAACAGTATCCTAACCACATTACCCAGTTCGCCATGGTCCCCTCGTTGCCACTACTGACACTTCACATGATGGCATACTCAGGGGAGGGCACTGTCACCTTGGATTAAAGCATCTTTTGAATAATGCCTCTTTGCACGTCACTGGGTCTAAAGAAAGCTTTAGCGCAGTGTGCATGAAGCATTTTGTGCACTCGAAGCCTCAGTGGTATGGATATTAGAAGCCAGTCGCAAGTCCAATCCCTTGTTTTTCCTGCATGTGAGCAAACATGTCCAATGATATGTTGTGTAAAATATTAATTTGGATTTAAACAAGCAGGAGCGTGAGTACGAGGAGGATGGACGTCCCCCGATGCTGCAAACTCTGAACTGGGACGGCAAATAACCATAATTCTTATTAATGATTACTTGTTTACCCTGTAAAGTGTCTTTAAAAGACTGACCAGGAGTCCAAAACTCACAGTTCTTCACTTTAATATGAAAATAATCCTATTTGAGAGGCTGGAACCAGAGAGTATTTGGCATTTTCCCCGGATGAAGGACTTCAACCTTTTTGGGCTTGTGACCCCTTAAAATGAAACGATGTGAGTTCAACCAAACAGTAATGTTTGGTCTCACAGATTGTTCTGTTTGAAGAGGTTTTTTAAAGGCTCGGAGAGGTTAAAGCTGCTACTAGGACACAATGTCAGATTTTAAACACATGATTATTACGACCTGAAGAATTCATAGTAATGATATTATCATGATATCTGTAGAAAATCTGGGAAAAAGTCTAATTTTTTTAACTTTTTAACATTTTTTATTGTGTTTTGTCTCGTTTTTGGGGAAACTATGTTGGACTGTGAACCACAAAGCAGAATATTTACAGGATATTGTCTCTCTGTAGTTGAGTTAAGTTCTTATATTATCCCAAATGTTTCCATTAATATCCCCTTTGTGCCTGCGTCAGCGTTGTGGTTGTCTGCCAGAAGCTGTCATACATTGACTGTTTATCCAGTCTGAAGCCACATTGTTACCATCCACTGTTTAGATCTTGGTGCTTTTTAACTCTAGATTTGAACCGGATGAAGGATTTTAGTCATCGGACGTCTGGATCTTAAGTTATCAGAGAAACAAGCTGAGCTAACGTTAGCAGCAGCTCGGCTCGCAGCCCCTCCGGGACGTCCTTTGTCTGTCCAACAGCGTGGGAGAAGCAGTGATTTTTAAGGTGGAACTGCTTTATTCAGTGTGTTTAGTGGTTTTAATCAGCGGGTCTGTTTGTTCTGGAGAGGAGGAGACCTCTGTGGATCATTGGGCTCCCGGTAGAAACCTCCTGAACCATGAACACTGAAGGAATCCTAACCGGGAGAAGTTCTCCTGAACTAGGTGGCTAGTGTTTGCTACAGAGCAAAATGTTATAAAAAAACACAACAATTCTTATTTTTCTGGGGATTATACAATATTAAAACATACCTATAAATATTATATTACATATCTGACATTAGATCCTCCAGGATGTTTCACACTGAAGCTTTAAGAGGTGATAATATGTCAGCTGTGTGTTTACAGCTTGTTTCTGCTGCCCCCAAGTGGCCAAAAAAACACCCAGTTTCTGCAGATTTAAAGAATCTGAGCTAAAATACTCATCATATGACCCACCAGATTGGGAACCACTAATTTAATTACATAAATGATTTTGTCTTCTGTCAGCCTAATTGATTAATTGTTAAAAAAGACTTGTTTTTGGATGTCGTTTGCATTGGATTTCTCTTTTTGTCCCCAGTTAAAAAGCTCTCCTTGGGGAGGATGCTTAACTTTATTGACACAGTGGGACCATCTGTCCGTCTTAGCCCCGCAGTCAAATCTGTTAACTCGAGCTTGGTACACTAATTCAGCTGAAAATGGGGACACGTGTTTTTTAAAAAAGGGTTCCCTCTTCTTCCTGGAGCCTCCATTGCGCGCCTCCCTCCTCTTCCTCCTTCTCCCTCCTTCCAGAAAACCTTTAACTTTTCTCACAGAATAAGTGTCCGGTAGATTGCAGAAGGATTATAGATTATGATCTGGAGCAGTCCGTTGCATAATTGACTCCACGACTCTTCCTCAGTGTCTCTCCCCCCCAACCTCTCTCTCTCTCTCTCTCTCTCTCTCTCTTTCCCCGGCGGAGTGGCACAACGTGGGCGGTGCGTCGAGGAGCCCGATCCCCTCGTACCACCAGAGCGGCTCCGCGCTCCAGGAGTCAGAAGCTGGGTATGAAAGCAGCGGGACGTGACGGTGTAGTAAACCTGCTGTGAGGAAGAGGAGGAGGTGGAGGAGGAGGAGGTGTGTGTGTGTGTGTGTGTTTGTGTGTTTGAACCGAACCATGCGTGTAAAAGCAGTTTTGGTGCGGGGCCAGTCCTGAAGGGTACCGGCGGTGCGGTGTCCGTCGGATTGGTGCGCGTCTCTCTCCAAGGTGGATTCGGTTTCCAGCCCCGGTAACACAAACTGACTTCATCCGCGGGGAAACCGAGACCAACGGAAAAGGACAGTTCATCACCTGAACACCAGCTGACATATTCCCGCTCCTGGACTCCTCATTAATGGATCTAAACCTCCGATATTACGCGGACTGACTCCTCTCTGGCTACTTCACATTTCCATCCTTTTTTTAATTTTTAATTTTATTTTTGTGGCACAATTAAACTCCAAAAAGGATCCGCGGAGAGTCAACCTGTCATTTAATGCCTCACATTAAAAATGATGTGAACAGTAAAGATCTGGAAATGCGTCGCAAATGCTTCTTTCTGCTCGAGGTAAGTTTCTGCGCTTTGACTCCGGACATTTAATTAAAATGGCTTAATAATAATAGAAAAGCGAGCAGATCTGTCTTATTCTCGTGGATTTGAGTCGGGTATAATCTTGATGCGAGGGGATTTAACAGTACATCCAGATGTCAGTTTTTTATATTGTCTCCCATCAGCTATTTAATATATACATTTAAATATATTTGCTATAACATCCATTAAAAACCAGTACTCTCTCTCTCTCTGAACTAAAAAGAGAAAGGCTGGAACAGGACAGTAATCCTGACAGCGAGAGGAATTTTTTTCCTGTTCTGGTTCCCACTGAGCATTAACAGCAATCTGCATCATATTAGTTCAGTTTCAGTGTTTACTTGGAAACATGAAGCAGGACTTTTGGGTTAAGATGGCATGAGATCCTCCTCCCTTGCTTGGATCCTAGCTGGGACTCAAACGCTGCTGTTGGGAAAAACAGAAAAGAAAAAAAAAAACCCGGATTTGGGACACTAGAGATTAAAAAAGTGTTAATGCAAGCAAGTGCACTCCTCTCACTTCCTGCTCTCTCTGGTGCATGTTTGTGAAATAAAGAAAAAGTGAACAAATGTGAGATGAGTCATCTGATATCATCTCTCCGTCTCTTGTTGTGGCATCTTCTGGGACAAAATGGAGAGAGAGGAGGCGACAATAAGGACATGTGGTTTTGTTGCAGTCAAAAGAGACATGCTGATGTTGTTACAGATGCCTGAAGGTGAATTACTTCATCTACCTCCTACCCATTGTGTGAGCAAAAGCTGCTGCACTAAGAATAACCAAGAATCCTCTGAACACCCCCCCCCCCATCCACAACCAACCCTGCTTTCTATTCGTGTCCCAATTGTGGTGATTTAAGAGCAGGCAGGGCCCCCACACTCATATCACATGTCAGTGCATTGACTCTAATACTGTATGTACAGTTTAGACGTATTTCCTCCTAAAGGTGGAGGAAGAAGCACTAAATGAAGGATTATAATTGTCGATGCATTGATTGGTGGTAGTAGAGGTGGAGCTTGTGTTAATTCGCTTGTACTGGTGGTATTCAGGGATCAATAGAGTCTAATTATAATTAATCAAATCTGCAGGATACTCAAGTAAAACATGTCTGTGACAAACTGTCAAACTATTATCTTTATTTATACACCATTTTAAAGGAACTTATGTGGAATAAAGTAGTTTTTTACTGTGAATTGCACAGAAAAACGCCCTTTTCATGTTGTAAAAGAGTTTTTTGATGGTAAAAACTTGTGTTTATACAGTAAAATATGGATTAAAACCAAAAATAGTTGAAACATTTTGACTGTATTAAAAACTGTACTTAAGGACAGAACTTGAGTACTTTTCCTTTTACTCCTACTCCACTACATTTATCAGCTATAGTTACTAGTTATGCTGTTTTCATACAAATGATGTGATCAGTTTATAAATGTGAAGCATTGTTCAGATTCTAGAAACCAGCCAAATATTCTTTAATATAGTAAATCTTTCTTGTATTGAGAGAAATCTGCCAGTTGTTGTTGGATAGAATCCTTAAAGCTATAAACATCGGCCACTGAGAGACTGTAATGGGCCCTAAAATCAGTTATTTAAGACTTTAAAATAAGTATTTTAGTGAGAATTTGTATCTTTTCCATATTTGTAGTTCTGCAACGCGTCTTATTATTTGTAGTTTCAGTGAGCGATGGGAGCAGAACGTCGCCGCTGAGCTGCTGCTGGTTGAGGATGTCGATGTTTTGCTCAGTTTGAGGTTAATGAGTGTGAAACCTGTCCGGATCTACCTGCAACACATTCACACAGACTGTTATGGAAACACCACCGGACAGTGGTTCCTAACCCCGAGCTTTGATTATAATGAAACATACACACAGTGGGACTATATCTCTGCCTTTTGTTCATTTCTGTGAAGAGAAGACTTTCACAGAGCCTTCTCTCTCTTAAACCAATCAAATAGATAAATGAAAACTCTTTAATTTGAAGAAAGAAACTTATTAAGTATGTATGATAGTTAGAAATTACATAATACAGATAGAATTGTATTAAAAGTTGCTAAAAATATCTGCTTAAAATTCCTCCAAATCTCTGCAGTTATTGAGTTTCACTGTTTGGGTTTATTGTTTATCAGCTGTTCTCTGCTGTTATTGTTACACACTGAATATAATATAAATTAAAGCTGCAAGCAGCGTTGGGCGGGACCTCGCACTCCACGCAACTCGGGGCGTGCTGCGGCCGCGTCGCGTGCCGCCGTAACACGTGCGGACCACAACATGAAAATCTGCCGTTAATCAGCTCAAAATCGCCTCGCAGCGCTTACTTCCTGTTGCCAGTAGGTGGCGCTATCACTATGTCTGAATATTGTCATGTACACGTGTTCAGGGCGGGACTGTTATCAAGCATTTGAAGTGTGGAGCCGATTGGACAATGTACACCCAAGTTATAGCGAATTCGTGTTTTGTGGCGGTCCATCAAAATTTCCCGCCACCCCACAGACACGCCCCCTCACCACAGTCAACACATATCATCAACAATGTGTTTTGCATTTTATAAGTAAATTTCAGCTGGATCTGATCATCCTACGAGGAGTAGAACATGAAAGTATAAAACGTGATACTTCCTGTTACCGGTAGGTGGCGCTATCACTATGTCTGAATGTTGTCATGTAGACGTGTTCAGGGTGGGACTGTTATCAAACATTTTATTGAGATTGGATATGTACACTGAAGTTTGGGGCTGTACACTGAAGTTAAGTACTATCTGTTTATGGTGACTGGTCGAAATTCAACGCAACGCCACGGGCACGCCGTTTGACGGAATGTCGTAAATAGCACAACTTTTAATCATGAATGTCTTTAGATTGCGCTGATTAAATTTGAAGAAGATCCGATAGATTCCCAAATACAACGCGGAAAATTACAGAAAATGACCAAAGAAATCTAAATGGCTGACTTTGATGCCACGCCACAGACTCGCCCTTCAACGTACATGCACAAATAGCACAACTTTTAATCAGGACCATTTTTGACAGTACTCACAAATTTTGAAGCAGATCCGATAAATCCCCTACGAGGAGTTCGTTCAAATACAACGCGAAAAGTTTGCAGAAAGTGAAACTTTAAATCAAAATGGCCGACTTCCTGTGGGGTTTGGGGTATGGGTCCAAGAGGCTTTTTTGTACGTCCCGGCATGTTACACGTGCCTACCGAGTTTCGTACATATCGGTGAAACGTGGCGCCGGGGCTGCTGTTTTTTTATCCTGTAGGGGGCGCTACAAGCACGACAAACACGATTTTTGGTATGTGAGCTTCAGGCACTACTCTACACGTGCCCTGTGAATTTCATATTCATAACTATTACGGTCTCCGCACAGTGATTTTTCATGCCAAAAGAGCGCCACCTAGTGGCGTATTTTTTTTTGTCCTTTTTAAGTGAGCCTCAGGGAGCCATGGGGAAGCATCGTACCAAGTTTGATCTTAATCACACATACCGTTGTAGAGATATAAACTTCTTCATTTTAAAGAGCGCCACCTAGTGGCGATGGCCTGAAATTGTGCACGATGCTTAAGGAAGACATGGGGAACTATGGACCCAAGTTTGGTGTCAATCGGACATACCAATGTGGAGAAATGGTCCACTTCCTTTTTTGACGAAAAATCCACAGGAAGTGCTAATTTTATAACGTGCCGTTTTTTTGAAATATCAAAATTCTTTGAATTACTTTTTTTTATGAGGGTCCTCAGATGCCATGTGAAAAATTTTGTGCGAATCGGACAAAGCGCATGGCAGGAACACAAAAAAGTAATTTATGGACATTTCGTGTTCTAGAAAAAATAAATTCTAGGCGAAAGTGGGCGGGGCTTACATTGTAAGATTCAGCTCTATTCACCGAACTCGTGGATACGAGGTTTTTGAATGTGCGACAAATTATGCAGAAGTTATTAGCCTAAACGCATTTTTTATGATAGTAGCGCCACCTAGTGGCCGACCCGAAAGTGACACATAGAATATCAAATTTTTCACCAGGCCTGACCACTCTGCCAAATAAAATTGACTTGTCGTATATGTTCAGGGGGGCAAAATCGCAGTCAAAGGCGCTAAAAATAATAAGAAACATAGCAAATACAATAGGGACCTTGCCGGTCGCTGGCTCGGTCCCTAAATATATATAATATAAAAGTTTCTCCTACACACTTCACAGCCCGTTCCCAGCTCGTCAAATACAGACGCGAGTGGTGCTCAGTTAGTTCCCATCAGAAATTTCACCACTAGATGCCACTAAATCCTCCCCACTGGTCCTTTAAGTCGTCTCGGCGTTGACGTTTTCCGCTGCCATGGTGACACAGCGGTCGGCTGTAATGTTTGTGTGTATCCGTGCGTGTGATTTAATTCATTGTGAGGGCGAGGACTCGCACGCCCCCACCGAGTAGTTTTACATTCTTGTATTACCACGTTGGCTCCAGCGAAGGCTCGAGGTTCAGCTCTCGTTAACAGCGTCGCGGGCTCGTTTAATACCCCATCGTTTACGTTGTGCCTGTCACTCAGTGAGCTTTAATTACCTGGAAGGCGGCGAACGGGCCGGTACAGTAGGTTAGTGTGCTCTGATACCTGCCCGGGATTCACTGAGCGTGAAACAGACACAGCGAGCCATCAGGAGCCCGTCTTTCAAATCTGGGGCACTCTAGCATTTTATATGATGTTACTACACACACACACACACACACACACACACACACACACACACACACACACTTTTCTGGTATTTCACGCCGCTGTAACCATCAGGTATGAACGTTTTTAAAACACAAAGACTGTGACAAACTTTCCTTTCATTTTCTGTCTGTAAAAAAAGTGTTTACTGTTTCACGCGTTGCATTATTGATAAGGATGTTTTATTCAAGGAGGAAACGAAACAGCTTTATAGGTAATAGTAACCGCCCTCTCGTGTCCCACGGCGAGCAGTCGAGGGCAGCTGCAGGCCGGCGTTGAACCTCGTTTGGGGTCAATTAGAGAGACCGAGCAAAAAAACTGCACTGATGACATTTTACACGTCTTGTTTTTTTGCCTCTCATAAAGTGGCGCTGACACACGCTGGCATACAGGCGGTGGAGCGGTGGTTTCCAGATGTCACCGGTGCAACATGTTAGCATGACACACACACACACACACACACTCACACACACACACACACACACACACACACACACACACACACACACACGTCCTAAAGAAATCCAGTTGAGATGAAAGTGTCTGAATGAAATATTAATCCGAACACAAATCCTTAAAGAGCCCCTTCAGAGGAGACTTATATCCAAATATATGTGTATAATTGGTTGCACAAGAGAAGTCTGATAGTATTGAGTCTTATGGAGAAATGAGTCGACTTCTCAGTTGATTTATGAGCTCAGTAAACAGTTTCCTGATGAGTTTCTGGTCTCAGTCTCTAGTTTCAGTCTTCTTCCATACAGCATGATGTTCATTTAGTAACTGATGGTCCCATTTAGAGTAAAACAGACCATAAAGCAGGGTATGCTTTAGGGCGGGGCTACCTTGTGATTGACAGCTCATTCTCAGTGAGTCCGTCCAGCTCAACACAGCGAAAAACACACTAAAAACACGAAAAATTTAACAAAAATACATGAAAATACACCAAACGTGGCTACATCAGTTGTTTTATTGCATTTTCTGTCAGAGAAAGTAAAAGTTTGCTTCCTGCTCATAGTTCAGTTATAAAATCCCAGTGAGCCACTGAGTCACAGAGGACGAGGTTGAACCACCGTCAGATTTCACTGACAGCAGCAGAAACAACCCGCTGCCCTCCGTTAAGGATCACTCTCCTCCGCTTCCATCACTGTGTATTATTTTATTGTTATTATTTTTGTGGTTTGTGGTCATTTTGAGACTCGGTTTGTAAAGTTTACAGCCTGCCGTACTGTCTAAAAAACCACCAGTGACAACCGGAGAGTCTGATGTGTGAATCTCTGCCAGGATCTTGTTGAATTTTAAACCACATTTGTGGACATTATGGTGATTATTGGCTATCAGACTCATTCTTATATGCACTGTCTAAATGAAAACATGAATTAAACATGAATCTAATGAATTATAGAGGTTTAATTCTTTCTCACTTTGCTTAAACTAAGATTTAAATTCTCTGCTCGAATTCTGGCATGTTAAACACACATCATAAAAACTAGCTGTCTCATTAAGTTGCTGTTTGATCATGTTATATTGGACTAATTTTATGTTTTTAGACAGTCATTGGGTTGGTTTAAGGATGCTATGTTTTATCTTAGAAGATTATATTTGTTTTCCTGCTGGACACACAAGATGTCTCCTTCTTCACTGTCCATTCTCAGTGATACAGATTATCAGATCATCTTAAAAATGCCAAAATGCCAATTGGCACTTTGCCTTAAAGTTTCTGCGTCACTATTAACTTTATTAATCACTGAAGGGCAGTTAAAGAAAAGATCTAGTGGTAGTTAAAGATGTTACTGAGTAAATGTGAGCCGATTGCGTCCGTAGATTGAAGAGAATCAGAAAAGAGTCTCAGTGACGGTGCAAATAAAGTTTTTACTGTGAACAAATACGTCCCTACCTTAAAACGGGTGTTTTTTGAATGGAGTTTGGTGTGACAGTGTGGAGCAGAGTGTATTTTAACCTTAATAAGTCACATAAACTGAGCTACCTTCTAATAATGAACCTTATGCGACAGCAGAAAGTAACACAGATTATTAAAACGCAAACAGCTTCTAATAGCTAAAAATCATATCATCACCTGGGACCTGTTAGCTTTAGCCTCAGTCTGTTAGCATGACATCATAATGTAGTGGATTTTGGGGGGGGTTGGTTAGTTCAGGTAACAGATCTCACCTGTCTCAGATGCTATCTCACACTGTTATTGTGGTACAAACAAGCAGAAACATGCTGGTCCACTCCTGTCACATGAGAGCCAGCAGACACAGAGCGGGGGGGGGGTACTTTTATAATTATTACTATTTAATGTAAAGTGGGCTAACGGGTGGGCTAACGGCAACCACGATGCACACACAGAAACAGTTTGACTGTAACAGTCTTTATATTCTATTGAATCGTATATCTGGAGACATGAAAGCCTGTTGCTGGGGTGGGGGGGGATTACCGACTACAAAGTGCTCCAAATTAGCAGCGCTGGAAGACGGGGTTGGTAATACGTGATGCATCGTGTGCTCAAGGGCACCGAGAGTGTTTGAGTTTGATTCAGCTGAAACTTCTGCGACTGTACGACGTAATTAAAGATATAATCCGTAAAATCTGTAAAAAAAAAAAAACTCTACAAAAGCAGGAAAGAGCACAATTAATGTTCAGATATAATAAATGTAAAATAAAGGAGTGAATGTTTGTGTGAATATTGTTTTGGTTCTGACGTCTTTCTGCCTATAAATCACTGATTGTAACACCAGGACCGATTTAATCAACTGACCTTTGACCTGTCTCTCTCTGTTTCCCAGGTGTGTGCCATCGTAAGCCTCCTGCCGTCGGACTCTTTAGCAGATCTGACATGTGAAGCTCTGCTCATGCTGTCGGGGAACGTCTCGTGTAGGTCACGCACACACACACGTGCACACACACACACACACACACACACACACACACACACTCAGAACCAGGGAGGTTCGGTGTTATTGGCCCGCGGGTGATGAAGCTGTTCCAGGTCGACTAACAGAGTAACAACAATGCTCTCTGTGCTGTGTTATTAAGCTGTCACATTGTGATGACTTGATTGGGTGATGAACTCCTTTTGAACACAGACTGAAGGATCAAGGAGGGCCGAAACTACCAATTATTTCTATTATCAGTTATTATTTTACGAACTATCAACAAATTAAATGAAAAATATGCTTTTATTTTACTCTGCAACTAACAAATATCTTCATTTTTAATTATTTTCTTGATTAATTCAGCTTTTTTGCTCTATAAAGAGTCAGAAAACAGTAAAACAATGCCTCTAACATGTTCCCAGAATGAAGATTTAAACCGGTTAATTTAGTTTTACAGGAAGACGAAATTATGGATTCTGATATAAAAATACAAATAAATTGAGTTTTTGTAAATTTTTTGGCATAAATTGTTAAATATGGGAACAATATAACTACAGATGTGATCTTAAAGGGTTAAAATGCCGACAGTAGTGCTTAATAAATAACAAACTTGGGTCAATCTCCCGTCCCAGCTCAGGCATTAATGAATGTTTTTAACTTTGGGCTTTAATTTCATGTTTTACTTGGATGTTTTCTCACCACACAGAGGTGAGAAAACATCCGTTAGAAAGAATTAGACTGACGCGTCAACTTTGCCCTCGCAGAACTTCCTTATTTTCAGCTCTTTTTTTAAAAAATCGTCTTGAGTTATTACAGAAATAATACGCCCCCCCCCCGACCCCGACCCTCGAGGGCACGTCTGGATTCATATTCGCTGCTTCCCGTCCTGTTAGCGCCCGGGGCGGAGGTCTGTCACCAGCGTTTACCGTTGCCCTTTAATGCCCACCCTCTCTGTGGCTGTTAAGCTGAATCTAATGAGAGTTTCATAGCCCTTCTTCTGAAAAACAAACAAAGATTGAGGTTATTGACGAACGCTCTCCCCTCTCTGTGATTGCAGTGCAGTCCCTGGCCGCCTCCTGGAACCAAACCCTGAGCAACGCCACAGGTCAGTGGAGCGGTGAGTCGGACACGTTGCTTCCTCTTAATGTGTGAAACTGATTCCCTGCGCGAGTTGTTGTGGGATCCCCCTCACTCACCCACCACCTCCCTCCCACTACACTCCCCCACTAGGGAAGTTTTGATCTGAACCCAGATTATAAAAGGGACCAAACATCAAAAGATGAGAACAATGCTGGAAATAGACTCGGCGACGTGCCACAGGAGACGGCGCTCGGCGGCGCGGCACAGGAGTAATCATTAAAGCCCGTGTACACAAACAGCTTATTCAGCTCCGCGGGTTTTATTGCCAAACATCTTTTGGAGCATTGTCAGAATTTCTGGCTATATGTAGTCCGGAGACATGTTAGGAATGTGTGTCTAACATTTCTGTCCCCTCTCCCGCCCTCTCGACGCTACAGGCTCGGGACCCTACTGCGACACCTCCATCGACGGCATCGGCACCTGCTGGCCTCGGAGCAGCGCCGGCCAGATGGTGTCGCGACCCTGTCCAGAGATGTTCTACGGTGTCAGATACAACACCACCAGTAAGTTACAGCTCCTGCCAACAACAGAGACACACAATAGATTCAAAACAAGATTTAATTTTCACTCCAACCACAACCCCCGCTGACTCGTCTTCCCTCCGGGCGAATCCTGTTTACGTAATTGTGCATACAGGAATTAGCATGCAAATCAGTGAGAGACAACACAAAAGTGTATGTCGACACAAAGTAGGACGGGACATAAACGGCCAGAGAAAAGCTTCATGTTGTTGGAAACGATGGAACCGGGAGATAAGATGTCAGATCTGGTGTTTAACTTGCTGCTAATCGCTGCCGTCGCTAACATAAATCAGATTTTATTTTGTTGTTGGAGAGGTTGAGAACAGATCTCAGTCCTCTAAAGGGTGACATTCATATTTTATACATTTCTTTTTTAGCCACCACTTTGTTTTCGGCTGAAATATCTCAACAACTAATGGATCGACACTTTCTAAGCCCCACCCCCTTTTGCTATCTGCTCCAATCACAGTTTACCAGCTGCAAAAAAATAAATAAAAACTAAACTGTGAACATAATAAACATTACATCGTTTTCAGTGTGAGCTTTTTATGGCGCTTTATGTTTTATATCTTTATTGCCCGACAGCTTGTAGCACTACTGAAACAACCCGTGCCGCTGTAGCTGCTCCAGAACAAACAGGACGAGGACTTTAAAAGCACAATGTTGACATACTCGTGTTGATATCATCCACATTGGTCGCTGACATCAGTGTCTCGAACCCGAAGAGGGAAATTGGATCGGGTGGCGTCGTCGTGTCTGTCTTCTGAAATGTTGATGATTGTTAACCACCGCAACCTTTTCCTGATTCATTATTACGAGACAGCATTAAACATGATTTAAGTTAGGAGTTAAGGCCTCTAATTGTTTTATTTCTTTGGTTATTTTAATGTGGTTCCTTAAAAAACAAACAGGTAACATTTTTTTTAAAAGCTTTGTTTTTATTTTAGCTTGAACAACTTAAGCCGTTAATTTTCTATAAATTCACAAACGGATTGATTGACTGATTGTTTCAGCTGTAAAATTAAATATGTTACAGAATCTGAATTAAAGGGCCAGTGTGTAGACGGCTAGTTGTTAGCTAGTTTCCCCCCTTGCTCCCAGTCTTTATGCTAAGCTAAGCTAACGGGTGCACTGTCCAGTCAGAGAGTAAATAATGTTATTATTCATTCAATTTCAACACTTCCAGCTGCTCTTTCTCAGCAAAATGAGGAAGAATTTACCTTTTTTCATTCGTTTTCATTGCGTCTGATAACCAATAATCATATAATATAATAATAATGTGCAGAAATGTTGCACAAACAGGTTTTAAAATCCAACAAATAAAATCCTGGCAGCGGTTTCTTATCAAACCACGGATCTGTGGTGTGTGATGTGTATCTATCTGGGGCACTGCGGCACTCTGAAGGTAAAACAAACACCACCGAGGGAAATACAGTAAACACAATTAAGTAAATTTAGGAGATAAAAGCAAAATGTGTTTCTTGGTAATTTAAAGTCTAAAACCCCCACAGGAGCCCAGCGGAGCCACCGGAGAGAGAGAGTGAGACAGAGTGAGAGCACCGGGCTATAATTCAGCCAGAGCTCGCCAGTAATTTGACACTGCGAGGTTCATTTCACCTTCAGGATTAACATAATCTCTATTCAAGCGTAGCCTAAAAGCCTAAAAAAGACTGCCCATCAGCTGACGTCCCCGGTGAAGGTCAGCAGAGTGGAAACGGGTTCTGGGTACACGACGGGTGACATGTTTACTCATGTTTCAGTTGGGAATTCGACTTAAAAGATCCTCTCTGGTGTTGTCACGCCGTCGGAGGTCACACATTATCTGACTTAATGTGTATTCTTTTATTATTAATCGTGATGAAATGTTGGATTTTGTGGTAAAAGGACGAGCGTTCAATGCGGCACCGACAACCTGAGACGTTTGATTCGTGAGTCAGAAAAGAAACAAGTTTTTATTAAAACTTTTGTGACTTTTTAGTTTAAATTCTCTTCAGGGTCTCATGTTCTTGAGCTTTGAGCTGAGAGTGTTTTGTTTGCATCCTGTTAAGTTGAGCACACTGCAGCACAAGGCTGCGAGAGGCTTTCTTTCACAGTAAAGTTACGCAGCACAAACAGTCACAGTGACGCAGTGGAAAGTTCACTGCAGGCCGGCACTTCAGCACCACTCGTTAAACTACTTTTTATTTCTATGGAAGCCAATTTCTGCCAATGTGACGGACAATAAAAGCTTCTCGATTAAATACAAATAAAAACATACCTGAATATTATATTCTGACAATAGATCGTCCTCAATGTTACACACTGGAGCTTTAGTAAGTACTCAGTATATAAAACGGCTCCTTTGGTATCTGGATGTTTTCAAGGTAAAGCTAATTTATAATTAATCCTGTGTCACACTGTGTTTTATACATTCCTGCACTTTTGTCACGTTGTAGTGGAGACACGAGATAACAGCTGGCAGTACAGACCGAACTGTATGTCTTTATATTTTTATTTATTCTGTTTTCAACTATGAAAATTGGTCTCCGTCATTTGTTCTGCCTGCGTGGAGTCTTCGCTGCGAACATCCAGCTGAGAGCGCCAGCGTCTGTTTGTTGAATACACCAGTGTCTTTGTGCACCACCAGAAGCTTATTTTAGATAATATATGAAAATTGCGTCTCCCCCCCCGATATTCCCAGAGATCGCTCTTTCATGCTACTTTATGTTTCCACTCCACTGTACAGTTATTTCACTGCAGCTTTACTGTCATTTAAGGGCAGTTTGTTTACTATAAATAAAGCAGGTTTCATACACGAAGGGGCTTTCAAGGTGCTGCACAGTGTTTCAAACACAAACACACATATAAAGTGACGTAATTAATGTGTTTATGAACAATAAGACATCAATTAAAAGGGAAACGCTGTCAAAATAAAAGGATGTACCAAATAAAACTGAGTCAGATGTACAAAAACATAAACAAGCAGTAATAAAAAGGAAAATGATTAAATTGTATACATAGAAAAGGGGATAAAACAGATAAACAAACATTATTATTAATAAAAACATAAATAAATAGACAAATAAAGAGAAAATCAATTAAAAACCAGACTAATAAGTTAAGTCTGGAGGTTATAACCAGATAACTCAAAGATAAAAACAACACAATTCTAAATGAAAACAAGACACTTGAAAATTATAAGCAGAATAAAGATAAAAGAATATAATAAATAAAAAATAGTGAAAGGTCAATGATAATAATAATAAGACTTTGGGTCATAGAGGTAAAAACACTTAAAAAAGTAATTTAACACAATGTTCGGCTCAAGGTTATTGAATAAAAAAACTTATTAAGAGTTAAAGAAAATCTTTGATTCCACTTGTAGAAAAAATAACAGTTTGAATCTTTTTTAATAATGGAAACGTATTAATTATATATATATATATATATTCATATATATTATATAAATGATATTCAACAAATGAGCTACATTGAGTTTATTAGGAAACTTATGAAACTTTATTTGTTCCAATTAGTTTTATATTATTATGTCAACACATCAAAATAATGTTTGTACCTTAAAAGTTTTAAATCAATTTTTATCTTGCGTTTATTTAAGTTAATTAAGTGTAACACACAATCATACTCCTATGTTTCTAATATTTCCTCCTTTGTCTCCAATATTTCCTGCTGTGGGTTCAGATGTCTGTTGTCTGTTTCTGTTAATTTAAACACGTTCCAGGAACTAAATGAAGCGACTTGTTTTCAAAACATTTTATTTTTATTGTAGTTAAGAGACGTTGTAAAGCTTCGGTTCACGGCCCAAAGAGTGAGCGGAGAGAGTGAACATACAGGCTGAAGGAATCAGTGTCCACTGCACTTCTAGTTTCATTACACTGTAGAATATAAAATATAAATATCTGGTGATTTATGGACAGTCTTTGCCCTCAGTTTGTCCTGAGAAGACGACTGCAGACACTCAGGGATGAATTATGTCCAATAAATGCTGCATTTTCTGGCAAAGCAGAAGTTTAAAGTCATTAGTTCGTCAGGATCAGAGATAACGAAGGAAAGGATCAATAGAAATATAATGGAAATATAATATTATTGATCACTTTATTTACTTATTATTAACATTGGAAATACTGGACTGGATATTCAACAGTGTTTATATATTAAAACACGATATAGATAAATATTAACATGCAGGAAATAGTATTTATTTACTACCACTACTGATAACAACAACAACAACAACAATAATAATAATTGCCTCACATATTTATCAGATTGGAAATATATATTTCATATAAACAGTTGGGTTTCTGACATTTCCTATAAAATGAATATGAAAATATTAATTGAATGTACTTTTTGTATAAATATATAATAACAATAATTAATAACAATAAGAACATTCAATACTGAAAGCAATACAAGTAATATATCTTTACCAACAGTATATCCTCAAGGTACCAGTGCTAATAGTAGTAGTAGTATTAGTGGTCGTATTAATGGTAGTATTAGTGGTATTAATAGTATTAATGGTAGTATTAGTGGTATTAATAGTATTAGTGGTATTTCAGTCAGCCAACTCATGTTTGAAATGTTTACAGGTAGATGCTGGGGTGGTGGTGGGGGGGCTTACAGAGCAGCAGCAGCAATATGAATGCAGGCCAACAGCAGCATTGAGGAAGAGCTGGAAATTGTGCAGTTTAATTGGACCGCCATATTGGAAGGGTGCGCTTGGTTGGAGTGAGGCGTGTGTATAACAGCGCAGCTCGAGTTGACTGACTGAACCAGCTCGCAGGCTTCGCTCCATTAGTGGTAGTATCAGTAGTATTTGTAGTAGTATTATTAGTATTAATAGTAGTTTTAGTAATAATGGCTGTGAGGGCTCTGAGGAGCAGTGAGTGGCTGTAGCTGCTGTAGTATTAATGGTATTAATAGTATTAGAGGTATTATTAATAGTATTATGAGTATTATTAGTATTATTAATAGTA